CAAATCTTGACATTTGCACAATATAATCAAAATTTTATTACAGTTTGAGTAACGCAGCGTTTGTTTGAGATATTGTCCAGTATAATTCTGAGAAACAAAACAGTACTACTTAAAAATTCGTCGTTACAGTACCTGCGAAACATGACATCCAATTTTATTCAACTGGATACATCCTCGGCACCCGGTTTTTTTCTACGCTACCGCTCTTGACAGTTGCACAACTACCAGTCTATGACCTTCCACTAATCGTGTCATCAGTTCTCTCATCACTGTTCTCTAAACTATTGTTTATAATTTGTCCTTTTCATTCTTCTTCCACGAGTCTCATCTCGGTAAAAGAATTCGGAACTCATACGCGCAGCCCACCAAAACGATATGCTGCAACATTTCTGAAGTCACTAAGAACCTCTAGCAACATATATTAAATTTCACTCCACCCAAAATGAGATACAATGTCACTTTACAGCACTGGGATTTTGAAGCTACATCATACACGAACCGCCACACTTCAAACGAGTTGTTTCATCCGCCATTGTTTACCACAGAGCTACCAACTGGGAAAGAATGAAATGCTGGAAGGAAACGTACATGAAATAAAGGAGGAAGTTCTCTTTCGGATGTGCTGTCACAGAAACGAGAAATAGTAAACGAAAGCGGTAGCGAAGTTGGTAAGGAGGTTAATTATTTTTGTAATTCCCCACATTCTACCCTGTCTTTCAGTTAAGACTCATATCACACAAACTAATAAATTTGAAACTATGATAACAGAACAACTATATCCTGATATCAGATGATGAAAAGTCTGTGAGTTTTAGCCACGACATGGGTGATTGCCTGAGATGATTTTATTAACTTCGTTCACTGTTAAACTTTTAGACCACACATTTAACTTCGTTTTTGACCTTTTGAAGTTAGAAATTATCCATGAAGGGAAATACGTTTCAGAGGACCTGATAAAGAAGCCACTGTTGGTGTTAAGCTTATACTGTTACATTATTTATTGGGCTGTTTAACTACTCATAAACTAAAGCCTTCACCTGTAATATACATAAAACTTTGACAATGTGAAAAATGCCAGGCTCCTCTGCTGTCATTCTCATGGTTACCCTAACCATGGATGTAATATAATCTACCCAATGAGTACTCCTAACTTAAAACACAATTTCTACAATCTTGCTTGGGTAGGAATACGCCGGTAAGTCCATATCTGAAGGTATTGACAAAATAAAACATTACATCTAGAATATCAATTATGAATACTCCTTTCTGTTTCTTGTGTTTATTAATGGATCAAGCTTACAAAAATTATGGTATTTATCTTTGATGTGATAATTGTTGTACAATTATAAATAAGGTTTGTTTGTAGTTATATAATATTACTGAAGATACTAATCAAAGGGCCAGTTCAGTTGCCTGCTGCTTCAACTCTTAATAAGAAGGGCTGTGTTCTTTATATGACCCAGAATCAGAATGTTTATCTGAGATGTGTTTTCAGTGGTGAATATGCCAGTGATTATCTTGGTTTTGATGCTTTGTGGATTTGTAGATGGGTACCAATACTTCAGAGGAAGATACTACATCCATCTTCGGGGCTGTCAATGGTAGTCTTGTGGATTGTGGTGCCATATAAACTTGTAGGCAAGTACCAACAATTCGGCAGAACATAGTACTCCCATTTTTATGGTTCAAGATGGAGGCACTGTGTTCTTCTGAAACATTGGTACCACCCACAGTAAAGAGAGTCACAACTCAGAAAACCACTGTCTGTTTGTTTTACTTCTAATAAAACAGCTGTGTTACTGACAACAAACTTAATAAATAAATAAAATTCAGATTTATTATCCATGGCTTCAAACTATTTTATTCTCTCTGCACATGCTTCTATTTTCATACAAATGTTCAGTGTACCAGTACATCCTAGAAACAATAATATAATGATTTCTTATGAAACATACCCTATTGGTAATTATTCAGATATGCAGGTACAAGTATTGTAAAGAAAAAAGTGCATTACTGTTTTGAAAGTGTCAAGATACAAGGAATTTAAGCAGCATAGAATAATTTTAAATATGGGACATTAATTTATCACTTTCACACTTTGTCCTGTTTCCTTTTGGAGGACAGTTAAAATTCTGGAGAACACATTCAGAAATGCAGTATATTATTTACACTCTTTTAATGCAAATACCTTGTCTTTGGCAGCCACATCAAATGTAGTAGTACTCAGCAACATTTAATGTGACAAACGGCAAATACTTCAAATGTGAAGCTAGCATAACATAATAATTAACTTAACAAAGTTAAGAGAAATATTATGTGTGTTACTGGAGACCAAACTCATTGAGAACACTCATTAGGACCATAGTGTGCACATCTTCAAACACAGTTTTTATGTTTCCTGTGTCTGTAGCAACAGTAAAGTGGAAGTAGCACTGCCTGTTTTCTGTATCTGCAAGCGTAACTGTAAGTCCAGGTAATATGCTAGACTTGCGGTCATCTGGACTCTGCTTCTTTTTCATTACATCCTGGAGATAAAATCAGTTTCACAGGTCACAAATTGAGAAATATTTCTTTGGAGGACATCGTTTCTATGTACATGGGAACCTAATGAGTAATTCTCACTACTGATGAGGTTTTCTTAATCACACATATATTCTGGGCTTAATGTTTTTAAACATAAAACACATTCATAACAAAATTGTGAAATTTGAGGTTAAAAATGCAAATATAAAGTCGTATGTCTTAAATAATTAATCAAAATCAGATTTTCAAACTATTATTAAGCTCCAGACAAATAAGAATCTTATGGCAATGAATGGCAGAAAATATGATGAACTTATGAGGAAAGATCAGCAGAAATGTGTTTCATGAGCAGAAGGATCAAGATCCCAAAAATCATGAAAGGACTGTATTTTTTTATAACTGTAACAGGCCTAAAGCTAGAAAGAACAAATTAACTAACAGAAAACAATGACCCACATTAAAAAATATATCTGTTACTGGAACCATTCACTTTACAACATCCCCAGTGAATATCTGTCTCATTTCCTATAAACAAATATGTTTTGTGTTTCTGTACACCAAATGCAACAATTAGCAGTTATATACTCAGTTATCAAAACCACTTGTTTGGTTTGTACCAAGCAGATGGTAATTGCAGTGCCCACCAAAATGAGAGACGCATTTCAAATTTATATAATAATAAGCCATGGCATATGTGGACTAGATGAACAGAGTTTAATTCCTGGTATGGGCATTTCTTCACTACCACATCCATCCATCATCTAACCTCCTACCAAATGAGTACTTAAGGTTCTTATCTGGAGGTAAAGAAGTCATACTGTGAAAATGACCACTCACTTCCACCTAATACTAAGAATACAAATGTGTAGAATGTAACATCCATGCCCACACAACTTCAAAGAGTGGTGTTTATGCATAGGGATAATTACCTTTATCATAATAATCCGTGTACTGAGGCTAATTAATCAGATGAGCCTTAACAGGTGGATGTTTCAGAATCATATTTTAATAAACATTAATTTTTCATCCAAATTAAATGACATACCATGACACTAACTGAAACAAAATTCTCCTTTAGATATTATGCCTACTTTTGGTTTAATTTACTTACATAAAAGAGCTCCCGAATGAAGCACCGTGTCTTTATATACTCATCACAGCTGTTTCCATCTAATGAATAAAAGAAAACACATAAATCTGGCAAATGGTTAAGCACAGTAAAATGTGCATGTCAAAGTACATAAAAATCACACTGAAATCAACAGTAAGATGTTTGGATAGAACTAATGCCTGACATCTGACACATTAATTTATAAAACTTTAAAGGTCCATGCCACACACACACACACCAGACACACAAAAAATATTTGAAAAATAAGTATAAATACTTTTCATACATCCATCAAAATGTTACAAAGTCAAAGAGACCAAATTTTGCATCCAAGTCAAAATTTCCATTCCTCAAGTATCTTCAACTAAGATACAGATTCATTCCTGATTCCTGAACTATATACTGAATTACACTAAAACTTAGCATGTCAGCAATTATGAATTAAAAAATAAAAAGCACCACTGAATATTTTGGGTCAGTATTCAGTAGAGCTACATCTCTGATAAATATGAAGATAAATAAAACACAAAGAATGTGTTTGCACTGATCTGTTACTTTCTGATAACCTTTGGTATGCCTCACACACAGTTAACAGCAAACTGACCCATACAAACTATGAACAGTATGTATCTGTGGTTAGACTTGACTAAATTAATAGTACTGCTGAAACCAAAGGTCTACCATAAAGTGATATCATTAAACTATGCCTGCTCCATTCCTTTAATTTACCACTTAATTACACTAACCTTTGCTGTTCATTTCGTATCTGCTATACTCAGGGAAGTATTTAGCAATGCTTTTACCACTCTCAACTTTCTCTTTAAGTGTATCTTGCTTGTTCAGAAATACAATCATACCAGCACCAAGTAAGAACCTGATAGAAGATCAAAATATCAGTGTTTGGAATACTGTGAAGAAAAACAGGATACAAACACTGTTGACTAAATAGATACCAACTGAATATGAACTCATGTTTCTATATGATTTAATTATGCTGTTTCAGCTGCAGAAAGAAGTTTATAGTGTAAAATAAGATGGGTACATGTTCATGAGTGGTAAGTGTAAAAGTGATTGTAAGAAGACAGTTGTTGTCTACTTAAAGGTACTATCCCTGAAGTGGTCTAGTGATCTTAAGGAAAATCACAAAATATTTCAGGATAACCAACAACCCAACTGATACTGCTACATTCCAATACAACATACAGATTAATTGAACATTTCTACCTGGTAGAGACTACCCATATATCACCTGGTCAGTGGTCACCTGCATATGTAGAATGCATGATAATTTACTTGTCTTAACCATAATATGAACAAGATTTAAACTATTAAAGGAATTTTCACATATTCTGTACATACAACTTCAAAAAACTACACAGTCACCATAATGCCCTTCAATACCAAAAAAGTTTATAATGAAGCCTGTAATCTTCAACCAAACCAAATTTTGTTCTGTCAGTAATTATCATAATATGTGTGTGTGTATTGTCTGTAATATCCAATATAATGTTCCTCCTGAGAACTTCTATCAAAAACAGACTTGTGACTGCATTAAATGGACATCAAGTATCTGTACTATGACAAAAAGCTGCAGAACAATTGACCTTTTCTCACCTGCTCTGCCAGACATCATCAAAAAGACTCACAGCCTCACGTAACCTGTTGACACTTGTCTCTTCTCTCAGAGTTTGGTCATAGTCGCTTGATGCGACTAGGAAGAGGATAGCATTGATGCCCTCAAACAGCTGGAACAGAGATTCAAGTGGAATTCATAAAATGAGACATTCAGTGAAGGCCTTTATTGACCATGTATTGTGTCTTATGCACTGTCCAGCTGGCCATGCTGGCATCAGACTAGCATACCACTAACTATTAAACCTGGAGTTATAAAGACTGGCTGGCAGCCCCATATTACAGAGATTTGAATTCCCTGTTCCAGTAATATAAAATATTAGAGTAAACAATTAACATATATAATATTATTCATTATTAATGAGTAGTAACTATACCTCATCTCCCCCTAAGTGCCAACATGGCATATAGAGGTACAGGTTTTTTATTATTAAATCAGTCACTAATCATTTTATTTGTTGTTTTGTATGGTTATGAAGCATGAGACAAGAATTGATATTAAGAGTTTGAAACTAAGTGGTAAGAAAAATATGTCAATTGATTGATTCTTGGGTTACTTAATGACACTGTTGGAATTAAAATAATGTAAACAAGTTGTAATTACATGGTTACAACATTAAATACAGTACTTGTAGACACACCATACAATCATTATAACACTAGTATTATCCTGGCTGAAAACATGAGTAACTGAAATGTTGGCTTTTGAATCATGTTTCCATTTCTTCCATACTGCCCTTCCAGTTGGCATGCAAAATATTCCTCTCTGAGAGGCATATTTAACCATTATAATCTGTATGATGCAGCTTACATGCAATCCAGCTGCATACACATCACAGCAGCAAAAACCTAAACCATTAATCCAAAGCTACAGTTCAGCTAGCAGCCCTGTAATATGAGGATTTAAATCCCTGATTCCCATGCACTAAATTTTAATGCCTCTGCACTACATTGTCAAGTTGAACAGGAAAAGAAAAATACTAGTAATAAGAATGGATCATTACCGGCAACCATTTACGCCTCTCACCCCTCTGACCCCCAACATCAAACATCCAGAAACCCATGGAACCCCCACCATACTTCTTTGGCACTTTCATCTCAAACTCAATCTTCTGAATTCCAGTTGTTCTCTTACGACTGTACAGAATGTCCTAGAACAAGATAAATTACTTTACTAAATAAGAACTAAAATGCACTTGCTATTGGCATCCTTGAGAAACTTGTACAACTTAAAAAGGGATGTGCTCCATGTAATTAATTATAGTATATATCGTATATGTACATTATTTAAGGCTTCAAAAATACAGCCAGGCCCAATTGACCAAAGATGAATTAAACTTCTTTAGATTTCCTATTACTGAATTTCATAAAAATCCACTAAGAGTGTCATTGTCAGCAGATCACAGATAGATAGAACCAAGTCCACTTCATGTTAAATATGCAGTAAACTAATTAATTACTACATACACATACCTGATCAGATGGTCTATAATTTGGATTCCTAACCTCCATTATTCTCTCTAGAAAACTGAAACATAAAAGATATAAAAACAAAGTAAATAATAAATAAATACACAGCGCATGTTTGAGAGAGAATCTGTGCAATTTTAGTCAGTAGTAATGAGCAATTTACTTAGAAAGGTAGCATGGAATTAAAGTAAAGCTGTCCCACTACATACTATGGAGGTGCTTGGGGAAAGAGGAGGTATAGCTCTGAGTCATTCTTGACCTCAGAACTTGATGGTCACCATCATGCCCTGGCCACACTTTAACCCATGGAAAGGATCTCCAGCATCCACTGAACAGAAAGCTGGGTGGGCCCCAGTGCTGGTCTAGACACAGGCTAGAGGAAAGATCTCTTGCCTTGTCCAGACCAGAGTCAGACAGTAGAATGACTGAGCTACCCTGGCTTTAGACTGGAATCACACAGCTCAGAATATACTGGAGTCCATCCATACTTCTCTCTAGGTCTGAACAACATATAGCTCAAAGAATACTGAAGAAATTAAAGCAACGAACCACAACATGACATGGTCACATATAGAATGTGATTTGACATGGAAATTTTATTTTCATCATGCATGACTTTTAAATGAATTTTGGAAATGCAAAATACCAATACTTTTCCAATAAGAGACTTTTGTTCTGAATATCTTTCTTCTGATCTAGAATTCAAAAGATACCATGCAAGACAAACAGATGCACAGAGAGACACCTGAAAACTGTACATGTATATTTCTAAACATATTAACACAAACCAAAGTTACTATCATTATCAAATACGAACAAAGAGAGCTCTGTTTGCATACTGAAATAGAATGAGAAATAAATATCAACAAATACTCACTATTTTGCACTGTCAATAAGTTGGAACTCATTAGATCTTCGGTAGCATTCCTTAATACCCTTATCATTCCAAAGAGTTTGCACATGGTCATAATATTCCTGCAGTTAAAAGTAACTTATTAAACCCAAACATCAGACATCAATGAAATAACACAAAACCTTCTTGTTCAATCATTCACATAAATCTGAAGCCAAAGTGCAACATTTCAGATCATGTTTCTAACACATCATTACCTGATGATGGAAAGAGATCTCTCCAAAATGGTGAACTTCTGCTCAAACTGATGTAGCTGGTCACCCAAGAAGATTTTTTTTATCACTTGCAGTCACCATTATAGCTTCCAGTCTTACATAAATTAGCTATCCTGAACAATATCATATGTTGCAAAAAATACATTTCTCCTGACAGTTCTTACATCTGTTTTAAAAATATACTATTTATGTGTAATTCTGTGATTTGCTGGAGTGCTCTAGATTACAATAACAAAGAAAGAAGACTAAAATGCAATGACTGCATGTTCATAACCAAATTAATTAAGAGAGATATGTGAGTCCAAAACGTGAAACTAGCCAAACTTTTGGGAATTCACAAAATCCAACCAATGGACCATAATGTAAACCAGTTAAAATGAGTCCACATTTCAAATCCTATTTTTAAAGATCCACTTTAATGACACTCTTGCATCTACACCTAGGTATCCCAAGTGGTTTTATTTCTATTTGTTTACAATTTATTTAATGATGCTGTCAGTAGCTCAGACTATACATTATTGACTGACATGATAATTTCTAATTAATGATTTAGAAAGGATGTGGAAGGAAGCAGTCATGGCCTAATTTAAGGACGTTCCCCAACACTTAATTGGGGGGATTGAGAAAAACCATGCATAAGATCAGACAGGATAGCCAATTTCCAGGCTGAGTTTTGAACCAGAAACCTCCCAAATATAAATCAGCAACAACATTTGGTTCCTGCATGGTCTATTCCCTTGTTCCCTTCCAATCAAAAATACATATGCATTTGTTGTTTCCCTCCTGCATGCTTTCTGTTTAGGCAAATCTCTCAATCTGCAAACTGTGAACTTACCTGGGTATATGATGAAGGTTCTTCTGGTCCTAGACTGCGAATATAATCTGCACTAATCTTGCTTGCATCTTCAGCAAGAGAAACCAGAGGTCTTAATGTAGACATATTAGTCACCAGATCATAAATAGACTCATGGATATTCTGACGTATCTCCACCACCTTCTCTTGTCGTTCTCTGTAATCCACATTGAAAATGGCAATAACAGAAGACAAAGATTTTGTACTAGAGTTCATAAGTTTTCATGCCATGCATGCTCTGTGTTAGCAGAAAGGAGTGCACTAGTTTGAACTACGCATAGTTTACAAGCACATTCTACATGACAGAGTCTTGTAATTTGTTGCAGACACAAACCAGTTGCTAACAAAGCATTAATTATCTGTTAATATGAAACAGGAAACAGTACAAGTATCATTGTGCCTAAGCAGTACACTGTGAAGCTGTATTTGGGCTTTGCAGACAAAGATTCATTAAAAGAGATGCATTATTATCAGCTCTGGATGGTGGTTAGTCGCATTGTTTCATCCACCTTTCATCCCAAAGTAATAATTTGATTTGACAAAATTAAGAAGCTAATTCAACTCAAACTAAGCAAAATCTGTCAAATTGCCCAACAGAAGACTACATGTGACTAAGCTTTCATATCATTTATATTCAATGCATTTTGTCAAAAAACCTTTTTTATTTTTGTATAATTTTAATTATGCAAAAAAAGCCTGTAGTCAGTCACTACATTGACTGAGCTACCCAGCTCCTTCACAAAGGGTACACTACATAAAATGTAATAGATAGTTCACAGTTCAGAAACATGGCAGATTAAGGTGATATCTACAAGTGTTCCATTTTGCACCACACCAAGGAACTAACTCCTTGGAACATTCCTTCTTGATGAAAATGAAAAGTTCTTACAATTTTCATGATTTGTTGTATGTATCCAACATATCAGAATGCAATAAAATTAAACATCCCCTGCTCTTACTGGCATATTAAATTGCCGTGCAGAGAGGCTGTTTCAGAACAATGCAATATAAAATATTTGTAGCTAAAAGGGAGGAGGTAGCAGGAGAAGCTTCAGTTTGTAATAATCAAACTTTATTAGAGTGATAAAGTCAAGAGGTTGAAATGGGCAAGGACTTCAATAGATAATAAATTGTGTAGTAAAGGGTTAAGAATAGCTACATACGCTTCTGAAAATCCGCTAATGTGCAGAATCTTCATTTGTTTTATAATTGTTGTTTTGCCTGATTCACCCGTTCCTGTAAACAGAAAGTTATTAACACACAAATAAAGTCAATTTATTATTATTTAATCCTAATGCAAAAATATTACCAACTGTTTATCATACCTAGAAGCAGCAACTTGATTGCCTTCTTGTAATCCTTGTTCCATGCCTTGATTTTCTCTTCCAGTTCACGGCTTGCCCTTTTCTGTTTCTGTGTTTCAGAATCTGACCCCTTAAAACAGCCCATCATTAGGAGATTTTCTTTTCACGCAACTGTCACAAAGATAATATAATTCAAACCAATAATTTTAAAAACTCATTCTAACCCTGTGTGTTCCTTAAATGGCATCTTGTATGGCATTACAACTTCAAGTGACCATAAAATTCCTCAAAAAAGTCAAACTATAAATTAGCTGCTTTACCTTTCATTGTGCCCTCAAGGTAGGGTCACCATATGCCATAATGAAGGCTGATATGTCATATTTACTGATACAAAATATTAAAGAAAGCCTAGCCTCAGTTCTAATGTCATAAGATAGGTGCAGTGCTTGCTTATGTACTGAATTTCATCAACATATTTCAGTTCTTTCAGAGAGTAAACATGGGATGAATTGTCATGACACTCACATTATGCAATCATTTTATCCACTTTGTGCAATAACACACAGAAATTAAGCAGGGCTTACTGTTTGCCTTTAAACTACTAATGAATGTTGAATTTTGATTGAATTATATATGGTGCATTGTTTTTCTGAAGATTAAAGAAGAAAAATTGGTTAATGCTATTCAGGAAAATACTTGCTGTTAATTCTGAGCATCACATGAAACCCACAAATGCATTTGAAGGTTGAAGCAAACAGTATATATAGTTACCACAGCACTTCATAAGCATTCTGTTATAGTCATATATTTTGAATGAGTAATTTTTCATAGATTAAATAAAACTTGGGTTTGGATAAAGCTGTGAATCCTGTAAGCATGCACAAATCCATTCTTGACAACTGATGAAACTTTATATGGTGTGTTTTTGCCCATAAACTGGGAAAAACATTGAGTACTTACTGACTGATGGACCAATCAACCAATGCATCACTCACACCTCATCTCATCAAACTCCTGTAAATTTGTTACACTAATACTCCTGCCACATTTCAAACCTTAAACGTTAAAACTTGATCTGTTACCTTGAACCTTGAATTGTAATAAACCACTGCCAATAATTATAATTCAAGTTCAGAGCACTGTAAATCCTAAACTTATAAAACACTGGCATTAAAGTAAATTCATGAAGTTCTCAACTTACAACCACCACTTTCAAGAGATATGTAACAAATGAATGTCTGTTACCACTACTTGATAACAACTTAATATACCCCTCTCATTGATTCTATCCCCACCTGAGAAACATCTGTACAGAATCACCTTACCCAAGTTCAATTCCTAAAGCACACTGATAACTTGAATTTAAAGTATTTCATGTTCACCAAGCAAGAAACACTGGTTTTAGCAAAGCAATACAATACATACCAACAGACATCTTATCTCTCAGGTACATGGGTTCTGATCCATATGATAGACACATAAGCAGGTCAAGATAAGACAAGCACCAAAGATTACTTCAAACCTCACACAGAATAAAAGGGACTTGTGGCTATGGACAGTCTGTGACCCACAAGGTTCATGTGAGTGAACTGAAGCCTTAAACCAAAGACCAAGACCTCAGCTGATATGAGAAAAGCAGGAATTCTTACAAAATATTTGTGCTCACAATATCGAACCAAATGTAAAATCAAACAAATACAATGGACCAAAAAGAAAACACTACTAAAAAAATTAAAATTAAATGTGTCCTTATACACATGATGAAAGAATAAGAATGGCCAAAATAAATAATTTAGTGGACATAAAGCAGAGAATACAAGAGAAGGTGATCAGTCACACTGGTTACAATTAATTTCTCAAGAAACTGAACAGAAGCTGCATATTCTTTTAAGACCTAATATTACAATACATGTCAGGATTCTGTTCCTGCACTATCAAATGCACTAGTATAAATCCTATTTCACATTATTGAATGATTTTCCATATCAAAATTATTGACAGCAGGAAATTAAAAAGGAACAAAGGTGGGATGGCCTCTAGTAGGGACAGAATATTAAAATGTATGATCTGAAGCTTTCACAGTGACCAAGTATAATAAATTTTTCTCGGGCTACCAGCCATGTAAGTTAGCTTAATGAAGAAAATACCATTTCAAGAACCATCTTCGTCCTCATTCTCCCAAGGCCATCGATAACAGGAACTACTACACTGAAAATATATTGGTGTATAAAAGTACACAGTCTGAGGACTGTGTAGGAAGACAGTAGCATTATGTCACTACCAGAAAAAAGTTGGAATGTGACCAAGTTCTGTTAGGATTCTAATCAAATCACAACATTGTTTACTCTGCAGATATTACATACATATGAAAAAATTCTCTTATCTTTATTTCAATTATCAATTGCTACTTTCATGATCAAATAATAATTTCCTAAAGCTGTATTAGTATACACAAAAGAGACCACAACTCAAAACTACAATTCACTAATTTAATTAACTAAAATTCAAACCATGAAGACATATGGAGGAGTTGAGGCATAGCTCCACATGCTAATAACCTCAGCACTAAAATGAAAGTGATCGGCTTCACATTCTTGCTGCTCTGTCATTGGGTAATGAGCCCTTGGTACCTGCTGGTTAGGAGCCTGAGTGGACACCCCAGACCTGGTCTAGATACGGTAATGAGAAAAATCTCATCCTGTCTAAAACACAGTTGTCCAGTATGTAGCCAGTCACCATATTGACTGAGCTATCCCAGAATAGCAATTAAAAACATGTCATGATATATTGTATTAGCACAAACACAAACAGTGGTTGAAAAATGGTAATGAGATGTAAAAACCAGTTCTGGTAAAGTAATGTTTATGTTCTACATTAAAAAGGTACCAGTGTCTAGAACACAGATAAAACTCATAATTTTGAGAAATACACACAAAGGAAAATAGGAAACCCTATTGATTTATTAGGTATTAAAATAAACTACAATAATCATAGACAAGTATGCAATTCAAACCAAATATGTAAAACACCATTTGTCAACAAGAAGAAAAAATAAACTACATGTGTTCATTCTGGTTATAACTATTTAAAAAACCCACAGAAACCACTTTAAAGCAGGACAGATATTGTTACTGAGTGTGAGAGTCCTGTGTACCTAGCCTGATAAACAAATTTCTGTCTTTCTATAGTACTTCCCATCTCAGTAAAATATATTTTATTGGGTCTTTTACTTAATGAAGACACAAGCTGGTACTACAAGATGAACATTCATGTTGTTTTACACATGTACTTTTATTATATTTTACTTATTTTTACAGAGAAGATGATGGAACTTGAACCTGTTAAGATAATGTATATTATTATCAAACACATGTACAACTGTCTTATCACATCCAACACACATTACACTGCTACACTGTAAAGAGTTGCAAAACCTTTACAGGTTTCCAGAAGTTCAAGTAGGCATGGTAGGTGTTTGTATTCTTGGTCCAGTCACAAGGATCACTTCAGAAGTGACCATTTCAACTGCTCTTTTGCAGACTGCAATACCTAAAATTAAGAACATTCATACTATCTACAACCAGAAAATACAATTCCTCTCCAACAGTGGTTAATGAAGTAAATAAAATGAGAATATAAATTAAAGTTAAACTGTAATATAATTAACCTTGCAGTCTTCTTTAAATAACCTACCACTTTGATGTGATCACAACCTTTCAGTTGAGTTAAGGTGAGATGTACCTCAGACACACTAAATTTTGCTTGAATCCACTAACCCTATTTTACTCAACAGACAAAAGAATCAAATTAAATGTTTGCTCCTTACACCAGTAAAGTTTGATAACAAGCAAAATAATGGTGAAGTAAACAGTTTTCACAAAACTGATCTGATGTCATGTTGAAATATATTTTACTTTCCAAAATACAAAACAGCATGAATTAAAGGATACTGTTATATTAGAATTCAATGTGTCCCCTTGAATATGCTGTTAAATGCCAACATTTTTATAAACATTCTAGATATCAAACCAAACTACTTCACACTTATCAGCCAAAAAACTCATTCTAAAACTGAAATTAGCATGTCATTTCTGCTGTATTTGAACAAACAGAAAAATGAATGGCTGTATTCTTAAACATTCCACCTCTCTAAAAATCAATTCCTGGATTTCATAACTTAGTGATCTTAAAAAAAATGAAGTAAGTCCAGTTTACCTACTCTCCCAAATAAAACAAACTCTTTTCCATCATATACAACTGACCGCAAGCAATTTGAAGAATTGACAAGACATGTTTACTTAAGGAATATGAACATTCAACAAAGCAAGTTTGCAAATAACTAAATTTCAAGCTCAAATTTAGTCTGCCTGTCATCTTATTTCAAATCAGAGACCATCATTAATTATTACTAGTAGAATAGATAAGTAACAAGATAAATTATCATACCTGTGCCACAGTCTGCTCTCCAAGAGGAATGTCATCTGTTCGCAAAGCGACTCTCTGGACAACTGCTGATGAGTCAGCTTCCATAATAATTCTGGAAAAGAAACAATTTACAGAGACCAATATATCATTTTTCATTGGCAAGAACAGAATGATAGTACTACAGGAACCAACAAGAATCCAAAGTTGACACAACTCAAATGTATTAGATTTAAATTGCCTGTAAATAGCAACAAAAGTATGGTTCAGTTTGGCTTTTGAAATTTTGAATAAAAATAAAATTTATTGTTGAAGTCCTTATATAGCTGCTGATAAATGTGTTCATTTCTTTGTGTCATAGAAATGGCCTGTACTTTTCAACCTAGTATTCTGTCTTAAGCATTTAGTTGGCCACCTGACTTAAACTTACCCTCCATCACAAATTTCGTCCATGGCTAGCATGACAATGTCCAAGTTATCAAATACAACTCTCTTTTCAACATTCTTCCGTAAAATCTGACTCACTGCATCATATAAACAATTAAGCACACTCATCAGAATCAACTGCAACAAGAAATTTATTAAAAATTTTAATTACATTCATATAAATGGTTCAAGAACTAAACACATGATAGCAATTTATACCTACCATATGTTTTTCATTAGTCACATTGGTACTTGTGGGTTACCGGGACACATCACTTTAAAAATATGTTAGGTTAGCTTAGCTTAGGTTAATATGTGTGGATAAATGACATATACTTGAAAGTTATTATATTTTATTTCAATCTAACCTAACCTAACCTATTTTTAAAGCGATGTGTCCTGATAACCCACAAGTACAGTCACATTTATCTATCTTATAAGGAAAGACAGGCTTATGATATTATGAATATCATGCCCCTTGGACTTCTTAATGTTCCACCAACAACAATCCCAACATAGCAAATACACAAAATTGTGAGGTTGGAGTGATACCAGTGTTATTTAATAAAAGATCCTTAAAATGTCTTTGAAAAGTATGCAACTTTTGCTTCAATAATCTTTCTGCACATTGTAAATCTAATAAACTGAAGCTACACATATACAAGAACATATACCAAGCCACAACAGCATATTTCACATCTAATATTCTTGATATTGTGGTAGAATTTAGTGGGAGAGGAGTGTGACCTATGAAAGAGGTGACTGACATGCAGAAAGGGACTGTAATAGGCAGGCTAATCACTACCTCACATACCAAAAATCACATGTCACCAATCATCTCAAGCAAATATGCTTTGCACCATCAATCTTTTTCCAGTTCACACAAATTCAAGCCTAGGTGCTTCCAAAGATTCACCTAACAGCAAAATGATGTGAGACTCAATGAAACACTTGCAACTGCATCAAAATATTGTGTAAGTAAGCAAGACAGATAATTATCAATTTTCTAATTACTCAAGTAGTGAAAAATTATCAAAGTCAGGTACCTTTACTTTTATTTATATTCTACAGCAGAGTACAGGAGTACTTTAAGGTAATGATGGGTCATAATCATACAACCCCCTCTTAACCCCACACATAACTTTTTAAAAGAAAAGACCTTGTAATTTGATCCCAATCCAAAAATTATTTACACACATTAACAACAATAAGAAGACTAAAAACAAACCACTTCAGAAACGAAAAAACGTATTTGTATGTCCGTGTGTCTACTATTCGCACATAAAAACTAGACTGACAACTTGCCCCAGCCATTAAAACATTCTCAAAATTCTCACACACAAATTGCTCCTAAAACTGAGGCCATGGGCAGCTGTCCACTTAGCCCATTTTATTTGCATGTCTGGCACTACTTCGACATAAATACCTCATTTTCATGTGAACTTCCCATGACATAAAAGAACAAGTCCACATTGCTCCTATAGACACAAGTCAACCCATCGAGCATGATGATCTCTGCATTTGCTCGATGTGTCTTATTGAACAGATTTTTTTCGAAAGTCTTTTGTTCTTTTGCAGTTGCAAATACGTTCTTATCGTAGTACTTGGCCAATATTCTGTTTCCATCATTATCAAGGATAGCCATACCCTTGACCGTATATAATGTCGGTTCCTGTAGGAAAGAACAGCAGCATTCAACATGTATTAATCAACTTGTATACTGCTACTACTCACAGCAAAAATCGAAAGATATATAGTGACCTATTTTAAGTCATAAACCATATATACAAATACCAAACTTAAACTTACAAGCAGAAGGCCTTCCATGTTCGCATAAGCGACGTCAATTGTATTATACGGATATCAATTAAACACAATATATAACCTATAAATAATTGAATCCAAACAATATGAAATACCCTATTTAAAACGTTCGAAAAGGTCTGCTAATCTGAACATTCATCAGTCATAACAAAATACAGTACGTGGAGGAAACACAACTTAACGAAACGAACGTATTCACAGATAACACAACGACGTCTACATAACAACATTCCTTCTTGCAATGTAATGTGTAAGTTGGCAACTTAGTGGCGCATGCACACATATATTGCCATCTATCCACATCGATGATAAAACTACTAGAAAACAATTTGGCGGTAAAGTTCATAAGAAACTACTCCAACAGCTTTCGCCAAGGGCTCTGTCGGCAACAACTATCATCCAACTTGTTCACCCACTTCACCGCCCCATTCATAACACAGGAATAGTTAATATTACAAATTTGAAGATGACTGTCTCCGAAATATTGTGTCGTGTAGTCTAGTCGATAGTGACCTACATTTCAGAGGCGCTTACTCCTTCCATCTGATGCACATGGTGAAATATCCCACATGACAGTCATCTTTATAACCACCACCACAAGGAACTGAAATCCTGCCTTTACAAACTTAGTCCCTGTTACTACAGAGAAATGCTTTTGAAAACAAGTAAATGTAAACTGGTATAATCATTAGCACTGTACTCACATTCATCATGAGAAAGTTTTCAGTAAGTACTGTAACGTGGGTTGACCTTGATTTTTGGGGTCTGCTGCCTTGAATCCGATCCGACTGTAAATTTGGTTCAATTATAAGAGACCACGATGCCCTCCACCAATGATCAATTTAATCACAACTAAAACGTTTCTTTACAACACAAAATTATCTCGTCTACAACACAATTTTCCTACGTGCGATTCACAGCTCAGCTCTCTTCACACTCTTTGAAAGCCGACTGTTTACAGCAGTCAACAAACACAACAATGTAAATAAACAGTTTAGTTATCTGTTTCTTAGGTAACACAACAATGCCAATAAACAGGCAACACGTCACAGTACAAACACTTCCTCTTAATCAATTAATCCAGAATTCCTTGACTGAAATGTACTGGACCACTTTATGAGTAAACTATAGAGGGAGAGAGACTGCATCATAGGTAGATACGTAATTTGTCGTCGTCGTCAAAAAATGACGTCATCAACAATGTCAACAGATATTTGTTTAATCGACATTGTTGTCAATAAATTACGTCATCAATCAACAATGTCAACAGATATTTGTTTAATCGACATTGTTGTCAATAAATTACGTCATCAATCAACAATGTCAACAGATATTTGTTTAATCGACATTGTTGTCAATAAATTACGTCATCAATCAACAATGTCAACAGATATTTGTTTAATCGACATTGTTGTCAATAAATTACGTCATCAATCAACAATGTCAACAGATATTTGTTTAATCGACATTGTTGTCAATAAATTACGTCATCAATCAACAATGTCAACAAATAACGCTTCACAACGACGAGATCACCCAACTACCAAGACAGTCGCGTGATCACTGCTCCAGAAGCAGCACATCGCATTCTTGAAAATGAAGATTTGACTGACAGTTGGCCTCCGAACAGCAACGTAAAGAACTAAAACATCAGACCTATTTAAGAAATGAAGAAAAGTGAAAGAAGACATTATCAACTACTTGAAGTACCAACACCAACAAGGTAAACTGATACTAATAATACTACTCATTCAAGTCATACTACTCATTCGATATATTACGATTACGAAAACTAACTTTATGATCGATTTTAAGATGAAGATTTGCAAGGGTGGAGTTGGACGTAAAAAGTTGACTGTAATAATTAGAGAAAGCACTCCGAAAGGAGTGCGTTGCTCTATTATTCATAAACATTTGGAGAGATGAGGGTGGTAAACATGGATGAAAAATGTTTCGATTACATAAAACCATCTTTTTCAGTTACTGTAATTTATTACAAATGATGTGTAACAAGCAATAATACTGAATTTTCCATATATTATTCACATATCCGCAACTTTCACACAAGAAAAAATGCCAGTAAGCCAAGGAATTATAATTCCTCAAACCAGAACATATATACTATACTTAAAAATCTTCAAGTAACTCTGAAATAACCCAAGATAAAAAACATTTGCTGAACCAGTTTTAACGTACTAAAAAATCATATTAAATATAATAGATTCCAAATTATACCTCTAAACTCATAAAGTACAATATTTTACATACCAGCCTGTCACAATTAAATGAATTCAAAACATACATCAAAGTCCACAGCATGACCATTGCATTTCACTGACATACGCCAAACATAACCATCATGAATGTTACTCACAATTCAAGGAATATTATGTCTGTATGTATTACTGGTATATGGTACAAACACTTGAATGTGATATACTGGTTAGAACTAAAGAATTTCCCACTTCATTTTCAATTGGCATTTTCCAATACTGATACAAAGCAATCTCTGAAAACAATATTTTAGAATTCAGTAACCAGGCTTTGCACTTACTTTACAAATTTACTTGTTTCACAAAAATATGTACTCCTGGATGGTGTCTATTTCACCAATAAACATAATTTTTGGAAGGGATATATTAACAATATGAAAAGCTTGAACTTTAACCCACTGTTCAATATGTACATATACCACACAGAAGAACAGTCCTCCCTGTATTAATATATGTCATATTCTTTTCCAAAAACACACTGCAAGGTATCTGTAATATGGGTGAAAATGCTGTACAGCACACATCAAAGTCTTAACAACCATAAATATACCCATATGAGACCACTTGCAATATTCCCCTCACCTTAGAATCCCAATCACGCAATTTTTGTTTTGCTTGTATATCAGAAACAAGAAAAGGAAGAATCAAGATTAATCTGAGGGGTAAATTTTTGCTCCATATTCAGATGAGCTTTAGGGTGAGAGCCACGTCCAACATATGATGTTAACCAACATTTAGGTAAACACTGCAGCTACCATTTTCCACCTGTCAAAATGTTGGTTAACACCAAACCATTCAACACTGCTCTCACCTGAAAGCTTAAGTTATACAATGAACTCCAGCAAAAACCTATGGACAAGAAATCAGATGATGCTGTCAAAATATGCCAGATCTGGCTATGTAAACAAATTATTGAACTCAGAACTTTGTGACTGCCAGAACTGTTGTACTTCAATAAGCATGACTAACAAAATCTGTAAGGCGTATCACATTGCAATATCTACACAAGTGAACACAGACGTTGATCTGGAAAAAAACAGAAGCTCTTTCTTGTACACCAAAATATATTATTGTCAGAGTGTCCTGTTCAAATGAAGAACTTTTACTTTGAAAATCCAAAGTGCATTATTTTGCGGAAAATACCAGGACCCTCCCAGAGACCTCTGTAAACAAACAAAAAATCACTTTACTGCCTTTGTAGTTTTTAGGTTACATGTATCATACTTTTATTACAAACCTTACTAGAAATCACGGGATAAATGGTCACTACTGACATCCATTCCTTGTTTTCCAAACAAGAGGGTTAGAAGACCTTTTACTTTCCAACAACAGAGACACAAAACTACAGCTTCACAAACAAAAAGGACAAGGCATGATCTGAATTTCCAGTTTCACTACATAATAATCCTCCAACACTTTTGAATACTAGGCCATAATGAATTATAAAAAGTGGAAACGGGGCCAAACAGAATAAATGTAATTAATTTTCAGTTATAATACACATGAATAACGCAAACTGAATGTGCTCCCTACTGCAACCCACTTGATCAACAGATTATCATCAACCACAGTAGAAGATATAGTCAAGAACAGGTTAAAAGCCATTCAGTGTTAAGGCAGGAACATTGACTTTTGCTTTATGAAGTGAATTTTTTTTCTGTATCACTAAAAGTACTTTATGCCAATAAAAATATAATATATAGGTAGTAGTAGCTAATAAATCATTTTAAAATGTTGCAAAATTGAAATATATAGGAATGCCAGTAATAAATTAAGATTCACAGAGAAATTAAGAGAAAATAAAATTTGATTTAACACTGGATTAATCTATGGTCTTCTGAAACAACAAATAAATCCAGATCAGAAGAAACAGTGCTTCTAACGAAGATATCTTATGTAAGGCTTACAGCATTCAAAAGATTAAAACAAAATTTTATTTGTTATTTCCATTATAAATATTTTGTGATCACTTTGCAACAGTTAAACAAGTACACCGGTAACTAACATTAATAAATCTATTTTCTTCAAATGGATATAATGATTCACATAAAAGCAAGGAAAAACCAAATTTCAAATACATGTGGATACTTTAAAACATGTGTGTCTTTAGATTACTGCACTTACCTCAACATCAGATTGAAGTACAGTATTGGCATTACATCCTTTTTCATGTGGAACATGGTGCGTCTCTCTACACCCTGGTCAAATGGGAAGGTCTCTAGGGGGTTTGTGTCATAGTCAAACTCTGCCATGATACAGCTTCCATATCCTGTTACCAGAGGGCACGATGTGTATCCATCGTAAATTGCTGTTGGAGTCTTCCCTTCCAATGCTGCCGACAGATTTCTTCGTAGCACACCCAATTGACCAGCTAAAGCAATTGCAATATAATCTCATTAAATTAAAATTCTATGTACTAAATGCTATGAAACTCGAAGAGTAATTTTGAAACACAATGCAGTAAAATCTCTCTCTACCTTGCTGATGTTGGTATTCTGGATTGTAATGCCACCCTCATCAGCCCTGAAGGTGCAGGAAGCATTTTCCTCTCAAATTTTGTTCACTGTCTACAAGTCCACACAATGATACAACACAGAAGACCAACAGTGACACTTTTGATTCTGATAAACCTCATACCTCACTCTCCACCTTACAAACCTCTATATAACGTAGAGAATTGGCGGTTCTTCCGAAACACTAAGATCTGAAGTCTTCCAAAATCAGCCATGTCAATACAAATAAAACTCTGATAATTTCAGAGCTGACTGTCTCTCCATCTTCAGGAAATGGTTTTATCAGTGACAAAAACTGGCCAGTATAATATATGGGGAGTAACTGACTTGTCATTTTAACATTTACATTACATAATTCTTTTCTCAAGAAATGTAATGATCATCAGAACATTATCACCATCTGACTTGGTTTAACAATCAAATTGTATGGATATTCTTCAGTATTAAAACACACACAGTTTTGAGGTTCCTTACTCCAGTTTTCCTGGTCTTATGTAATAAATGGAAAAAAATGTATAGTTTCCATACCAACTGCTGCTCCAGTCTTTGAGGTGGGAAGGGTTGTACAATCTCCAATGCCAAAAATGTTGGGGTACTTGATGTGTTGCAGAGTGCCTTTATCAATGTTAAGGAAGCCCACAGAGTCTGACAATTCCTTGTTTTTGGCTATCACTGGTGTTGGACAGTGGTGAGGGCAGACATGCAACATCTGGTACTGTATGTTAAACAACAGAAAAACACTATAACTTTACATGCACACCATATTATTATCTCTCAGAGAAAAGACAGGACAGAGGATAATCACATCTGTGATTTTTCAAAATCTGAATTCTGAGGATACTGAAAACAGTGAAGAGAAACTAGTACAACTGTGAAATTTCTTTCACAAAACAACCTATTGAAGATCAGTCGGAAATAAAAATTAAATTTAAAAGTCCAATACCAATTATGAAACAACTGATTCAGTATCTCATTATTCAGATTAATCTATATTTATTTTTATATCTATGAAGAATTATAGTACAAATAGTATTCAAATCATCTACCCATTTTCTGTACAGTTGTTACAATGAAATACATTTATAAATTTTCATAAAGTTTTCATCGTTATTTACTGTGTTTTGTACATTTAGCAACCAGTCACAGCTATGAATAAATGGATAAAATTAATTCCTTTATTCTACATGTTGATAAATTATATTGAATCCAGGAAAAAATAAACAGCCAAACTTGCATGGCCAACAAAAGAGATGGCTGAATTGACATGAAATGAGTCCTTCTAAAACCAAGAACTTAATCAGTGACTGAAACTCACCTCTTGAACAAATGTTTCATCTGGTTTAGATAAAGATTTAAACACAGCTTGTTTTTTGTCTGGTCGTACTTCTACCAAGTCAACATTCAAATTTACTTTTACTCTCTTCTTCTCAGCCACTTTCCACAGAGAAGTGGCATATTTTGGAGCTTTGAATATAACTGGCAGTGCTGTATTGTATAACACGTTCACATTCCGTCTACCATTCTGAAATAAAATAAGTTTTCTGATACAGAAATATCAATCAAATTCTATAATTATAATGTAGAATTACTATACAGCATCACCCAAGATAGGTCATTGCCATCTTGACTTGTATTCTGGATGTGCTCACTTCATATCTAAGACATGACAAAGGCTATTCTGAACAGGGTGAGTTTCCTTGGTCTTAAGGCTAGTCTTCATTGGCTTTTATTTACATAAAAAAGTGGTGCTGAAGTTTGTCAACTGTCATTATAACAAAACAGCATCAAGAAAATGTAAAGAGTTAGAGTAAGCTAGAAACAATTATTGACTTGAAAACTGTCTTCAAGATTCTTAAAGCATTTACAAACATGTATACTGATCTGCTTACAATTAATTATATATACATCAAATATTATACAGAATCATCTTACAACTGATTATGTTTTAATAAAGTGTACAAAAGAGCTACATCATGTGTTCATATTCATTAAAACTTTATAAAACTGATAAAAGTAAACCAATAAAATCTTCTCGGGCAATCAGCCGCGTCAACTGGTTCCCGAAACGTTGGTTTACTGCGGTACCAGTTGACGCGGCTGATTGCCTGAGAAGATTTTATTGACTGTACTCACCGCAAAAGTCTCAAATCCTGATAAAAGTAGCTGTTTAAATCTTTTCTGTGTCCAATAATTATAATTCACTGAATATACGAGACTCAAATCTTTCATAGCAACTAAAATTGTGACTTACACACCTTCATCACACTTACTTCTTTATGGTTTACTTTGGAATGCTGTCAGTAACTCAAACTACATTGCATTGGATGATTAATGAATAATGAAGTGAAAAGAATATGGAACAATGAAGTCATTGCCTAATTTTAGATACATTTTCCAACATTCCGTATGCATTTTTCATCTCTCCACAAATCTCATCCTCCTTGATCTTACAAACCTAATAATATATTTGGTGAAAAGTACAGATTACGAAGCTCCACATTATATTACTTTTTCAAGCTTCTTTCCACATCCTCCATCTCAAACCTAACTACTACACTCACCACACTGTTCTCAGACACCCTCAATCTATGTTCTTCCTTAAGAGTGAGAGACATAGTTTCACTCACAAAACCAGATTTTCTCTAATGCATACTTTCAACATCTTTGCTTCTTTCTATCAATGTCATTACACATTAGAAAGTTGCAAGAGTGATAATTGCCAACAAATTATTACTGAGAATGTCACATATGTAAGAACTATAAGCAATAAAGCAGAATATTTTATTTTCACACTATGTAAGACCTTCTTATCATTCTTCCTTCTTTCTGCTCTATACTAGAAATATCAAATAAAAATTATATGCAAATACAAGAGCCAACCTGCACAATCTGAAACTCAGGTTCAATAAAACTAACAATAATATAACATAATAACAATATAATATATTATATAATATAATAATGATGATAATAATAATAAAAACAGAGATAATGACAACACATATCTAAGAAACAAAGTGTTTGGAGAATTATACCCGTTGCAGGTAGTCTGCTGTGATGTAAGCAATCTTCTGGGGAGCCCCTGCACACTTAACAGGTGAATTAGGATATGTGAAGATTGCATTGCCACTGTCCAAGCGCTGTATGCAGCCATATGTTTTTGTAACATACAATGGAGAGTAGTTAGAACATACACCACTCCTATGATCCTTGAGACCCTCTAATAGACCTGGAATCTGAAACATAAAAAAGGTATTAATCTAATTTTATGGCACTTAAAGTGTTCCATTCACAATCCTATGCTGCAATACTAATAAATTAACTAACTTAAACTAACTCCATGGAGCACAGTTCTTTTTGAGAAGCCGACACTATGCTCTCCCCTTCAGGCTTTCCAATCCAAACTTTGTACATATTTCTAATTATAAAATTGTAATTCTGTATACAAGTTTCAGATATCTTTCCAGGGTTCTAAAGGCATGGAGCTTCAGTTTAATCCATGAGAATTTTCAAATAACCTAATCAAATGTCAAATCTCATTCTTCTCCAATTAAATGTGATTATGCTTAATGAAGGAGAAGGGGTTAGGCAGATAGCAAAAGTTCTCATTAATAAAATAAATGAGAAAGATTTCAATTCCTAAATTACAATGCAGGTGACTGTGTTTATGGCCTCTCTCACCTTAGTGAAGTCCAGCTCTATACCAGTAGCAACAACCATGTAATCATACTGCACTATATCTCCTTTTTCAGTGGTCACTTCATTCTTCTTGGGGTCTATTTCAGTGACTTTGTCCTTAAGCCACAAAGCCTGTTTAGGCAGAACATCTTCCATTGGTTTGTAAGACTGGTTTAATTTCTTCATTCCACCACCGATCATTGTGAACATTGCTTGATAATAGTGTCGCTACAACAGTGAAGAATAACAGTTTATTCCTAATTCTACAGTTTCTGATTTGCGTGCAGAGTTAACACAGTAGTTCACTTAGTTCACATAGTAATACAGCAGCAGAATGAATCTAAGCATCAAGCTAATAAACAAACTGTAAATATTTTAAGTGTCATGTACAACACCACTGTGTTTGCTCTCCACTTAGTCATTAAAACTTGTGAAACTTAGGAGTCTTGATTTAGGATAAATTACAGTTTTCATAGCTTCATCTAACACTCTATCATGAATTGTTTTTCATAGCACAACTCAACAGTGATCACTTCAAATAACGCTGTAAAACAAAACTGGGCTGTTAGCACCATACTCTAGTTCTTTTAAACAGAATGAACAAAGAGATCGAATAAATGATATGTCCTAATTACTGATAAACATTCACAATTAAAAACTGAGGACATAATAAACAACTTCAGTTGCCAAAAATTTCCTATTGGCCTATTATAAATATAATATAATCAATCATAAAGTATGTACTCAATGAGATGATGCACAATATTTATCAAAAGGAAACATGAAAAAGGTATTAGTTGAGAAACAGTATTTTCTTCCACTACTTATGGTAATTCCAGTGTGTGAAAACAAAAGCAGACTTGCATTTACACAGAATTTTTTGTTTGTCTTTGACTACAGAACCCACCCTGCACATATTTTGAATGTAAACTTGGAAATGGACTAAGAGAGATGTAGAGACATTGTCAACCAAGAATAAAAATACTATGAAAAAAGCTTTTTTGGGGGGACAGAAGCTTAGAGATTTTTTACGAAGTTCTATGAAGTAGTAAAAAATTAAAATACTGAATAATGACCTTAGGACAGAACAAGGACAAGGTAGAAAGTTCAAGAACTGAAGATTACAAATGTGATTAGAGTGACAGGATACAGCAACAAGAGGAGCACATATAAGGGGACAGAGAATAATGAAGGATGACCTACACACATGAAATAACAATTGATGATAATGAAATATTTACTTGCCCTTGTACCTATGAGTATTTATTCTGATGGATAATCCACTGCAGCAGTAACTCATACAACTTATACAATAACTTACATCAGCTGGATCAATAATAATGACTCTGTTCTTCCCAAGTTTAGAAGCATATTTGGCAGCAATACTGCATCCTCCAGCTCCACCACCCACAACCAACAGTCTACAGCTATAACAAAACAATTACAACTAATAGAAATGACTGAATCACTCACTCCCTCCATCAACTGTGAACACTTGCACAGATGATTTTCCTCTGGGCTGTTATTAATTAATTGATCAGATATGTAGGAAGTGGTGAATGGAATTCACACTTAATTTCAGGAAAAAAATTTACTCTTTCACAGTTTATCTTTAATTTCATGTTTGTAGCATCAACTATTCCAAAACAGGGAAGCCTGAAAACTGCATCTTGACTATGACAAACTGTATACTGCAAAGATGAAAGAAATAGGGAGTATACTTAGCACCATTACACTTAGGTTATTTTATTCTTGTTGTTACACACTATAAAACAATTAAAATCAGAATGAACTTACTTATGTTGGTCCCTCAGAGCTGTTGATGCTGACAAACTTCTCCTGTTTAGAATCTCACAAGGTGATTTCAGGCATGATAATGTCTTCCAGAAACTCATGTTGAGTTACTTGGGTTGTATGAAAAATATACAGCAGTACAAAATTACTTTGTTTGTAAGGTTACAATTCTCTCTTACACTGGCTATACACAGAGAAATGCTACAAATGAATCCTTCCTAGAATATAGTCTGACATCATACACCAGACTTACATTAACAAAACGCTGATTGGCTACATGAGGGCAGTTATTCATCAAATGTTTACTTCTTTACTTAGAAGTATATGCATTATAAACAGCGTCGACATTAAATTACCTCACAACGTTTTCGTTCTGGAAACACCTTAGGAACACATAATCAACACTAGCCTCTAAATTATTCACTTTTATATATTCTGTTCTTTCGTGATGTAGGTGACCTCCGCTACCAATTAAAACATCACGATATCAAGGAAACATGGCTAATTGTAATAGTCAGGCCGAGCAAACCACAAGTAAGTAAGTTGAAAAATACTTACTTTTGGAACAAACGGGAAAAACAGAAATAACAGTAAAATAACGCATGCAATTTCCCTGCAACAAATGGATGTCAAATCATATTAATAAAGTTAAACACCAAACACTATACACACATTACCACGACTCTTTCTACATTGGCCATGGTCTATCATACAGAGCAACACGTGGTAAGGTAAGAGAGATAAAGAGTTGCAGGAACCATTGAATACAAGTGCTCATGACAGAACCTTAACTGCGAACTGCACTCCAGATGTCAACCCGCTTCAGTACGTCCCTATTCAGATTTACACAGAAAATAATAGGAATTGAAATCTGTGCTTCGAATCCACATATTTTCAAAGTGCATTTAATTTATTTTTGTATTTGTAGTTTATTTAATTCATATAAAGATAGCCGTACCATTCTCACTCAACAGACAAGAGATGAATGATTTTTCTCAGAATGTCTTTGGTGATGCTATTATATTACTGCCTTCTTTATTTGCAACTTTATCCATTGGCTTCTTTTAAGCTTAATAAATATTAAAACATTAAGAAGTCACCAAGTTTGAATAGATGGCTCTTACGTCATCTTGAAGTAAAAAAGAGGTGGGAGATGCCTGATTTGGTAGACTGAGCTAAACACAAATCAGATCCAACAGAATAGGTGTCTCTCCTTTCTTGCCCATGGACAAAAGATCCACTGTTTGAAACTGAGAGAATTAGTAAAATTTAAAAAGTTTTTAAGGCTTTAAGAAACAGACTGGATAAGTCAAAAATAAAGCAGTGCAGGGAAAACTGGTGCACTTTTCACTTTCTGTTATCCTGGTATTTGTGTTCCTTACTGGAAATGAT